TTTCTCTCCTGCGCTTTGGCTCCCAGACCCAAGTGATCCTGGGATGAAGACCCCTCCCCTGTCGTCCTGGGTGGGAGACCCCTCACGTGAGTGGCGGGCTTTCTAGACCTGGGAGACAAAGGGACTGCGACCCCTTTCCCACGCTTTGGATCCCAGGTGTAGAGGATCTTGGGATACAACACCTGTGTGTTTGTGAAGTGGACCCCTTGCATGGGGCTATGCATAAAGGCACAGTGTGGCATAATAAAATCGTATTGTACCGCCAGTTGTGTGTCGTCCAGTTACTGGGAGAATGGCTGTCTGTCTGTTCTAAGGGTTCCTGAGGGGCTGAAGGAAGGAAATAGCGGTGGTAACCGGTCGGGTTACCTGTGGTCCGCTACAGCATCCATTGATCAATCACACCAGGACAGTATGTGTTTGTCCCAGTCACACCACAATGGCATGTGTTGGGCACAGTCACACCAGGATGGCACATTGGGCACAGTCACACCAGGATAATATGCGTTGGGCACAGTCATCCCAGGATGATATTCAAAGGCCAAGAGGTCATACCAGGATGGAATGCATTGGGCACACGTCACACCAGGATCACGATCATGCCAGGATGGTATGCGTTGGCCCCAGCCTTCTCAGGATGACTGTATTTGCAGTTTGCAGGAGTTGCAGCTCTGTAGCGTGCTGTTCCTTGACTGCGTAGGTGTGTGCCATTTGTGCATCCAATTAGAATACTCCTGTTCCATTAGACATTCACATCTGCTGTGTAATTATCTAGTGTTTTATAAACAGCACCAAACAAATCTCTTGAATTAGCAATTATGTGAATTACAATTACGGTAACTTGTACTGCTGCCCTCTAAATAGAATCTATAAATCTCTTTCACCTCTGCCTCCATGAAGGTTCATTTTCAGAGTGTATTGTATTCCGATGAAGTGGGAACACTAATTTGGCTAATTTACACGCTATCCGCTCTGCCTTCAATAAATGGAGGAACAGAACAGAATTGTTTATTTTCTTTTCAATAAATATGTTCAACACGTTTCTAGGATCCAGTGAAAACAATTAGTGAACTAAAGCAAGTTTAAATTTGCAATATAGTGAATCCATTATTTTGTCAAAGTTGGTCTAAATGTTAGAATAATGTTATCAACTCATTGTATATAAACATCTATAAATGAATATAAAATAAATTAACCCCCCTTCCCTTCAAAAAAAATACATTTACTTTTTAACATGGATTATTTTTCAGTTCATCAATGACACAGATCGAGATGGGTACATAAACATCGACAAAAATATAGAATATAGAAAATCCTGGAACAAAAATGTTTATTCTCAGAAAATGTATTATTTGAAAGTATAAGTGGGCTATGTTTCTTACATTAATCAGGGTAAAGTAATAAACCAGACCCACCACGAAAGCCACAATCTATGGGTTTCCCAAAAAACAAACCATTTTGAAATTCATTTTACCTGCGGGTAACAAATAAAAAACTCTCATAAATATTGACAGAATGAAACAGAATAGAAATACAAAACAAATGAAAAATATATAAATATGGAATTAAATAAATAACTGCAGCAGCAATCAAAACACAACAGCTAGAGTGTTTTCTGTAGCAATTAGCGTTCCACGAGATTGGAATAGTTGGGGTGAGTTACCTAAACTAAGAGTCAAGCTGTAAGCCGAGTTAGAGCATGTTTTACAATTAGGAAACTTTCATGTAGAACGCTGGAATGTTTTAAAATCTATCTAGATTACTGCGCCCAAACCTAGTGCTCCGCTCTGCCCCTTGTTGACCATCAGTACCGAAGATCTCATCAAAACAACAGAATGCTT